GGAATGCAGGTTATTCTGACATGCTCACAAGTTTTTGTGCTTGCTAGCCTTGATAAGCCTTGTCTAATGTTGTCTTCATGGGAACCAGATGAACTGTCTTTAAAATCTGGGTGCAAACTGCACGGAAAAGCTTCGTGTCCCAGTAATAAGAACACGACTGTGTGGTATGGGTTACTGAGAGTTTTAGTGATTCTCTCCTTTAAATTCCCACTAGCACAGTACATAAACAAGTCAAAAGTGAATTTATTTCCCCTCACTGAAACATTTTACTTCCTTTGAGCATGCAAAACTGTGAGAGTTGAGGGAGGAAAACAACATTTAAATGTTAAAATAAGAGTTGACTTAAGGCAAGTTAAACAGAATTTTAAATCTCTCATACCTTTGCTGCAGGGAAACACAACTAGCATGAATTGCTCAGATGAGAATTTTTCCTAGATTTGAATTCCTGATAGTGTTCTCTTTCAAGCTTGGTCCTAATTTCTCTCTTCCTCTTGATGATCATTACTCTTCCCTTCAATGGCACCTCCTGCTGTTGTATTACTACAGTGATTGCATTGACTCTTCTACTGCTAGATCTTTGTGTAGCTTTTCCAATTTGATATATGAAGAGTAAAAAGGAAAATAACAGGCCATGATAATTACCCCTTAGTGCGTGAAGTTTTGTTCTGAAACGAAAGACACTAAAACTGTAACTCAAATTCCTGCAAAGGAAACGCTCGCTCTCCTCCTGCCAGACCCCTTCATTTATCGGCCCTGGTACCACGCGTGTGGGGGAACATCGGAGGGATGCCATAGCTCTGTGAGAGGGGAACCTGCGTGCTCTGTTGGTGCGTCATCTGTGTGTTAAACGTAGTCCTGGTCCAGGGGCAGACAGAGGCAGGAAGGTGGCAAACCCACAGCTGAGAGATGCTTCTGTGGGAGCATCTTGAGCCAGGCATACCTGTTTGACTTGACGGTTTTGCTCTTTTTTTGCAGTCTGGGAAGGACAGGAATGGTGATTGGCATAGTCTCTCCCCAGTATATCTCGTTGTGAAACAATGATGTGCTGACTCCAAGAGTTAAGGGAGATGGGTATTTGTTTTCACTTAAGGTTTGATAGAGCATTTCAGTACGTAGCAGTTTTGTCTGAGTGCAGACCAGCCAAATAGCATGTCCTTTGAAAAGAGACAGTAAAATATGAATTTTAAAGAAGAAAAGTCTTTGCCTTTTTTTAGTACCCCAAATAACTGGTTTGTTGGTTCAGGCTGAACAAGATATACTCTTCTAGCAGCACTCAAGCTAGTGCCTTATTTCTTGCATAGCATGTATTTCCATTTCAGTGCAAGACAGGCTTTTTTGTTTTGTTTTTCCAAGCAAATAGAATAACTTTCGGGAGTATCTTAATGTTTTTCTACTATGCTAAATTTGGTCATGCTGTGGATGCCTCTTCTGCAATCCTGGAGTCAAACTGTTCCTTTATAGATAGCTACAGTGGAGTAAAAGGGGGAAGGTGCTCTGCAGTTACTCAGAAGAATGGTATGTTCTGATGCTTTTTGAACTCGTTTCAGTAATCGGCAGGGGAGGTGAACAGATCTCACGGATTCAGGCAGAGTCTGGCTGCAAAATTCAAATTGCTCCAGGTAAGCACCTCTTTGTATGGCAGGTGAACAGCTTTTAATGTTGAAGGATGATGCGTCCATTAGATCAGGCATCTTGCCATGCTCATGGCGCGTTACCACCGTTAACAACTGATATATATGCTAGGCTAACGTGCATGGGAGAGCTGTTGTAGGACTGTCCTCCCGACTAGCATAGAAAACAAGTTTGTCAGGTGGTTTGGGGAATGAAACAATTAAGGAACTATCTTTAACCAACAGATGGGTACAGTGCAAATGGACAATCCATGTTGTACTTAGACCTGAAATTGCAGCTGTTGAGTTTTCTCCTGGTGGTACCACTTTGCTCAGCTCTGTGGTTTGTCTCTGATTAGTCTGGTCAGCTCCTGGCAGAAGACGTTTCAGGAGGGTGGCAGCAGCTCTTCGTACAAATCGCCTTGCATGGAAAAAATGAGACCATCCGTTTGTTCTGTGCTGGTGCCTGTTTGCTTTGGGGAATACTGTACTACAGTGCTGTACAGGAAACTCTTGATGAGTGTAATCAACAAACTCTAATCAAGTTCTTACCCCTCCCTTTAACTGGCAGAGAAGGCTTTAAACGAATGCAGACATCCAGCAAATAATTTAAAATATGTTAACCCTGGATGTCTTTGAATTCATGAACATGCTCTGTGTGCAGGGGGGACAGTGCTTCCGCTAGTGTTTGGTAGTTACTGAAACAACTGCCATTTTTTTAATTCCATGTATTAAAGGTTTCCTTCTTGTTTCCTTTGTAGACAGTGGTGGGATGCCCGAGAGGCCCTGTGTACTCACCGGGACGCCAGAGAGCATTGAGTGAGTTCTGATTTCATTTTTCTCCTTTCTCCTTCTCTCTCTTCTCCCTAATGCTGTGCTCTGTCAGTGGTGCTACTTGGTTAGCCACACCAGCAAATGTTGGCCTAGAGAAACTTGAGGGTCTCTGGAGCATAGAACCTCTTGGTCTGATGCTTTAAACTGTGCACCTCAAAGGCTTTTTTCCAGTTGCAGTTTGAACCCTCTGCAGAAATTTCCGTGGAATTCCCCTCCGCAGGGCAAGGTCGCTCTTAGGGCACCTAGGATGCAGTTTTCTAACTGCAGCTTTCCAGGATACTGAGCTAAGCTGTTGAAGGGCACTTCTCTTCTCCCCTCTGCTTCCCTACTCCTATTGAGATGACCATCCTTCCAGCTGAAGAAGGGCTGCATGAGGCCTCCAAAGCCTGTTGGTGCCACTCCAGAATAATCTGGAGGTGTTGGTGTTGCAGAGCAGCATGAGGCCCATGGGTGTGCTTGCCTCTGCATCGCTGCCAACAAGAAGCAAAGGACTGAACCAAAGTCTTGAATTCTGATCCCTGCATGGTAGAGACACGTGGCCAGCCAGCAGGGGGTTTCTACTCTTTAGACCTATAGAAACTTTAGGGACAGTGTTTCCTCCCTCCCCCTTCCCAGGAGCTGAGTTTGAGACTCTCACAAACCAGTTGAGGACCTCCTGCTGGAACTGGATCCAGGATCCTCAGGCTTACAGGAACACACTTAACATATGGAGCTGCTCTTTCTCTCCCCAGCCTTTGGGTAGGTGGGTTTTTTAAAATCCATCTGGAAATCTTTGAGTTGCATTTGATAGTGAAAATACATGGGCGCAAAGACTGTCTCTCTAAAGAGAAGACACTCATCATTCTTCCATTCCTAAGAGATCTAAGGGTACTTAAATCTCCTTATTCTACCATAATACTGCAAGCAGTGAGCCAGAATAAATGTAATTGGCAAGCTCACATTATAGGGCCGGCAATGTATTCCTTAGCAAAGGATATTTCAGAACAAGAGCAAAATATTAAAAAGCTGGGATGCCTGATGAGATGCAGTTGGGGGAAAATGGGGGAGAGGTATAGTTAAGACTTCATGGTTCTGAAATAAGCAGTTAAATGTAGTCATGTCCAAGGCTGTCTTTAAAGAAAATACAAATAAATAAAAAAAAGAAAGGTGAGAGTACTCAATTTGTGAAGCAGAACAAGGTGTTGAGGACATGGAATTAGGCGAAATTTAATTTAGTTTTGTGTTAAAATTCTCGTCGAGTTGGTTGTTTGAACTATTTTTTCAGGCTACTTGTAGAAAAAGAAAATGAAGTAAAGAAACCAATCCACATGTCAGACTTCTTTGTGAAGGGTTTTGTGAAGAGCGTTTCCGTTGGCTGTATCCAGTGGCAAACTAATAGGGTTAATTTCCAAACGACCCCTTCTCATCTGAAATACGTTGTGTATTAACTGTTGTAGTCTCTGTATTGTCACTAAAAGAACTTTATGCTAAATAGGAAGGTAGATGGATAAAACCTCTTAAGACTCTTCCAGAATATTGGAAGCGGGCTTCCAGAAATTCCATCTTTTGCCTTGTTTTGTGTGAAAGTCAAGAGAAAGCGGTGCTCTGATCCATGTGCAGCCTCAGGTCACCACCCCCTGAGCTGCCCGGGATAGCTGTCTGCTTGCGAGGGATGACTTTGTACTGTTTCTTCAAATCGACAGAGAGAAGGCAGTCCTCCTAGGGTGCCTGATATGGCTTGGTATGAAGTGGAGAGGAGGGGAAGACGCTGCTTTAGACTGAATAGGGAACTGGTGACTTTCTTCTACCTGCTTTGAGAAGGGTTGTGGGAGAAGGGCTGTGGGAGAAGGGCAGGCAAGTGATGTGTTGGTACTAGGAGCCTTCAAGATGAAGGGAAGCCCTGTCAGTTGCCTCTGACATGCTAAAGATTTTAGAGAAGGGATCTTTAATCTCCCAAATGCTTCTTTGTGTGTCTCTTCTCACCAGGAGTAGAAGAACCCAGTCTTTCACTGGTTGCTGCTGCAGTATCCTTGCCTTGCTTCGCGGTGTAGCTTCAGCACCTACTGCTTGGGGCAGAGGCTGTGTTAGAACAGTGTTCTGGTGCTGCTGGTAAGAGCAAGCAGAGAAGAGCAAGGCAGTTGCCTGTGACTGATCAGAGAGTGGTTAACCAATGTGCTGTGTTAGTATCAGAGCAGTGTGTGGTCTTTGTCTTGACCAAGAAGGAGAACAGAGCTTGAGTTTTACCGGATATTGTATATATGTTAAAAAAAGTTTAGAACCTAGAGCATCTTCATTCAAAATAAGCACCCCAAATGCTATAGCTCAACTATTATCCTTAACTTCCAAAGAGGTCAGAGCATGCTGCTGCTCTTCCTTCTCTCTTCCCCTTTCAAAAATCAAACTGCTTATAAGTAATATGATAGGGGAAAATATATGTCAAAGAGTTTAAAAAAAAAAAAAAAAAAAAGCAAACATTGTGCTAACTATGGTTTCCTCCATCTTTTCACTACTTCTCTCCCCGATCGCTTCCCATTCCGATGGTTCCTGGTCTCTTGGTCACGTGGAACAATGTTGTCTAATGGTTGTTTCCCTCGATTCTTTTCCAAAGACAAGCAAAACGGCTACTGGGGCAGATTGTAGATCGCTGTCGGAACGGACCTGGTTTTCACAACGATGTTGATGGCAACAGTACGATTCAGGAGATTTTGATCCCGGCATCCAAAGTGGGTCTAGTCATCGGCAAAGGAGGTGAAACAATAAAACAGTTGCAGGTGCGCAAGATGCATTTACTTTAGGGCTCTCTTCCCTACTGCAGCTTCTCTAGATCAACAAGAGCGTGCTGAAATGGAGAGCCTTAAATGCTCTAACCTTCTACAGCAGGGACTACTCTTCTGCCTTCGGAGAGCTGGACTCAAATCCAATCTTGTGTTAAAAAAGAAATCGGTTTGGCCCCAGCTACGCACGTAGTGGAGTTTTGCCAGAACTGTGAGAGAAACTCGTGTGCTTTAGATAACATTTGGTGCGTGCTGTTTAGGAGGGGATCCTTGTAGCCAAGAAAAGGCTACCTCTAGTCTGCTGCTGCAATAGTTTTTAATGCCAGCCATGCTGTTGTAGAGTGCTGTGCTTCTCTTTTGTTGCTGATCTGTGATAATGCTGGCGTGTCTTCCTTTTTTTTCTCATCCCACCCCTTTCTAATTAAAAGTGTTGTGTTATGTATAAATCTGTGTTCCTAGACATTCTTTATTCCTCCATCTGGTACAAGTTTTTTAAAGAAGAGAGGGTTTCAGGAAAGCACCTAGGTCAAAAATGTAGTTTTTTTGAGTGCCCTGTTTAGGCCTCTGTAATCTAATAGTATTAAGGCTGGTCACTTAATAACTATTATATGCAGACAGCTACAGATTTTGGAAAGGGCTGAAAAATGAGTTGTTGAGGTGGAGGGGTTCTCTTTGCAAGGGATTCAGCTATTTGAGAACTTCAGGAGTAGCACACTTTCTGGCAGTCCTTTACACTCTAGGACTATTACCGTGAAGAGCTAAAGTAGCGTTCTGTAAAGCTGCTGATTTGACCTACCTAATGTTTAGTAACCAAAATATGGTCCCTTGTTTTAGGGACTCTGCTTAGCAAAGTGCTCTGTGCTTTTTCTTCAGGAGCGGACAGGTGTGAAAATGATCATGATCCAAGACGGTCCGTTGCCTACTGGAGCAGATAAACCTCTCCGTATTACTGGAGATGCATTTAAAGTACAGGTATGTAATAAAAGTAAGCAGTTGCCCCAGAGAACTGAGGACAAATTTAAACTTTAGCGTATTTGTGAGCATCTAATGGAGTCGAATCCAACTGTAAATGTAATGATCCTTGCTAGTTTTCTTTGTTCTGTAAGGCTGAAGTTTGAGTAGAGCAAGTTTAAAACACCAGACTAGCAAGTGTTGGCTTGTTTACAGCATAACCTAGGAGATCTTACTCCACGTAGATATGAGACATGGGTAGGAGAAGAGCTCAGGAGGAGGGTTTGGAGAAAGTAGCTTTGAAATGCTTTCCAGTCCATGAAGCAAAAATCATAGCTCTATGTTACTTGAGCAAATGGGTTCTTAGTGACTAACTTAACCACACATTTGAGAAAGTTTTGTGGAAGGTTCATTATCTCAGACAGCCAATTGACGCAGGTAATTAAAAAAACAAACAAACAAAACCATGACAACTCCTGAAACCAAGGGGTTTGCTTAATATTGGTACCTCAGTCTCCTTGTGTCAGGGTTCTACAGATGTGTTCATACCTGCGGTTTAAAGCAAAAACACATGATCAGCCGGAGACTGGAAGACTGCAGCATGATGGGAATGCCTTAATTAAAGAACTAAAGTTTAGCTGTGGCATGTTCCGCTTCTCAGCAAGTGCTTTTCATACCTTGCTAAGTATTTAAATCTAGCTTAGCATTCCTGGCTCTAACAAAAATAGTTCTGTTTCATAGGATCTCCCTAATCATAAATTGCTGCAACAGTTGATGTTGCTCAGGGATAGTAAGTTTGGGTTGTATTTTTCAAACCTCTTATTGCAGGTGGGCTTTTAGATTTGAATGTGGTTATTTTTCAAAATTCTTATACTTATTGTTGAGGTATAGATATGCAAAAAGGAGTTTAATGGCAGTCTTGCTACTTTTAACCAAATCATACTTTTAAGTGCTGCTACTTCCCAGGTGGTTTCTTCTGCCTTGCAAGATTTGCTGTTGTCACATCTTCCATGCCATAAATCGTGCCAAGCAATCACGGAGACTGCATAGGCTGGAAGATCTCTGAGGCGCTTGGAAAAGTTGAGCACACTTAGAAAGCACTTAAGAAGTTTGATGAATCCTTGGGTTTGGTGGGATTCTCTGGATGCTGCAACAGTGTTTCTTAACTCTCTCAAATCCCTATGAGATCTCTCCATTGCCCTTACTTCTGTCTGGGCATCTCTGAAATGTCTTGAGTTGTCTCCTTCTATAAAAAAATACCACGGGGGAATGTAAAATATGTAAAAATGTGAAAGGAGTCAGATTTACCAGTGTCCCTCAAACTTGGAAATAGAACCATAATGTCAAAAGCTTGACTGGTAATATATAGAAACAAAGGCTTTGGTTTTGACATGTAGGCTTTTTTTTTTAATGGTGGCTACTGTTGGCTTATTTCCAAGGTACACTTTTACTAGCTGGGCTACATGCAAGCTTGTGAATGGGCTTGAGGGCTGCAAGTAGGTAGGAAGAATATTCGTTTGTCTCAGAAAATGTCTTGCTGGATTGCTGCAGGCTTGGGCTTAACTTTTCCGAGTGTCAATAAGCTCATTGCTGCCCACCTGCCTCCTTGGTACGTGCTCTCTAGCTCTTAGTGGACATGGTCTCTGCTATGCTACCACAGCTTCTACCTTACTATATTGGTTTCAGTTCTATCCAGTAGCAAAGGGCCTTCCCTTCCTTTAATTTAAAAACAAAACAAAACCAAAAAAAATCAAAGCTATTTTAAAAGCTGAAGGGCCTTTTTGAAAGACTGAAGGAAGCAATTGCACACAAGAAACTGCTACCTTGCACACTTGGCAGGTTTTGTCAGACATGGAAGATGCCATCGAGAACAGATCTCCATTGACTGTGGTAAAAGAAATTCTGAATCAGAATGCTGTTTCTGTTAAGCAGACGGAGATCGCTTTGCCTGAAGCCTGACCATTAGCCACTGTTGAGGCCCTAACACCAAGATGGCAAGCAGAATAATTTTAAGCTAACTGTAACTTCTTTCCCCATGTAGCAAGCGAGGGAAATGGTACTGGAGATCATCCGAGAGAAAGATCAGGCAGACTTCCGAGGCGTACGCAATGATTTCAGTTCTAGAATGGGAGGAGGCAGCATAGAGGTATGTTTTCTTCACGAGTACTCTGCTAACCTCCCTGTGGGCTGGGTAGTGGGTGGAAGTCATCAAATTGCACATGTAACCTGTAAGCTTATTTTTAAATGCATTGTGTTCTGTTGCCAGAAGAGTGAGTCTGGCTGCAAAGAAGAGGAGTTCTCATGGACTCCCAGATGGCACTTTTCTAATTGTCTTTTTAAGCTGCATTCTTGTAGTGCAGAGTTCATTTAGCGGGGAAGGAATTTGTGGCCACATGTTTGTTTTTCTTAAGCAATATGGTTCTGTAGCCTGGAGCTGCCTAACGTGGCCTGTCCTCATAGTTAAGAGCATCTCCTTGTAAAATCAGAGTAATTCAGTCTAGTTCTCTGAGCTTTCATACTGCTTTGCCTTTCCCATCAGGTCTCTGTGCCCAGGTTTGCTGTTGGAATTGTGATAGGAAGAAATGGAGAAATGATCAAAAAGATTCAGAATGATGCTGGAGTTAGGATTCAGTTTAAACCAGGTTTGTGTGAGGATGGAGAGCCGTTACTTTCTGACCAGCGTTCCAGTTTGGGTTTGCTAAAGTGGATCTGATCTGAGATTACAGCAGCTAGGCTTTCCTAATTTAAAGGTGCATTGTCTCTCTTTCTGAAACCCGTTTAAAAATGATGTGCTGCTTCCTCCTGCACTTTCTGGTTTTCAGAGAGTAAGATTATATACAGCTCATTTGCAAACATTAGATGTCACAACAGTCATGTCTTGAGTGGTAATTATACGGATAAACAAAATAATAACAAAAACCTTTTTATTTTCTGTTAAAGAATGCTCCTTCAGGACATTAAAGCCTTTGGGGATCAGGAGTTGATTAATTCTAAGTAACTTTCTCTGGGTCCTTGGCTGTCTGATCACCTATCAAAGCTGCCTTTGTCCTCTTAAAATTATATCAGTCTCTTTCATGGCTTTTTGGCATTTGAAAGTGTTGCCTTTTGAATGTTGTTCCCTCTGCAACGTGGGTTGGGTTTTGTCTTCTTACAGTCCATGGAAGAGGCGCTGAAGGTGGAGGGAAGAGGTAGCTCTTGGGGTAGTGATGTTATGTGAAAATGCTGCTAGCTATGGTGGTGCTAGAAGGAAGCTTTTGTTGGCGGGTGGATGTTTTCTCCTTTTAATTTAGTCTTTGCCACTTCTCTTCACAGATGATGGGATTAGTTCTGAAAGAGTCGCACAGGTCATGGGGCTTCCCGATAGGTGTCAACACGCAGCACACATCATCAGTGAGCTCATTCTCACAGCACAGGTGGGTTCTGGAGGCTCTTGGGAGGAAAGTGGTTATATGGGAATGTCGTCTGCATGCATGCAGCTGTGTGGATGGATGCCACCATCTGAAGAACAGCAGTGTTAAATTTCCCCTCTGGTAGGCCACACATGCTGCTGCTTGGGACAGAGCTGCTAGGTTTGGTTTTTGTCTGTTCGGTTTTTTTAATGTGGTATGGGCTGAGTGAGCTATGGGAAGATCTCCTATTCTCAGGCAGTATTATGAGGCCTCATTGTAGCTTCATTTTTACCCCACATGTTGAAGTGTTCTTAAGTTATTTGGAAATGGTGACGTGGTGGAATGGAGTCCAGCAGTAGCATGAGACAGTGACTGGAGGTCCTGCTCAGTGGGGCTGAGTAACGCTTGGGCAGCAGAGCGTGAAGAGCGCTCCGCGATGCCTCCTCTTCAGAGTCCAGTCCTCTGGTCTGGTGGCTGTGGGAGGCAGGGAAAGGCAAAGGAACGCTCACGTATGCAATCCCTGTGCTCTAAGAAAGACACCGATGTATTGCATTGCCCAAGAGCAAGAAGTACAAAGATAGGTGAAGTAGTAGGACAGTCATGAAGGAGTTTGTATATTCCCTTTGTATTGTGAGAAGAAAAGATATTAGACTATTCCAGACCAGATACTTGAGCATAAGTTCTCCATCAAGGGTAGGTCTTGATATCTCTTCTTGCCCTGAGATCTGGTTTGAATGTTCGATTACATAATTTTTTTAAGTCATCCACTTAAATTTTGAGGTCTGTCATGGTAGCTTCTGACTGCCCATCACCTTTTGCTTTTGGAGAAAGCAGTTACCCAAAATAGGTATGTCCTTTAAGTGTCTTTGAACTTAAAAGCTTCCTTTGGAAGTTTTGGAAAATGTGCATTTCAGCTGAGTGATTCCAGCAGTTCTTTAAAGAACGACACTTGAAACGCTTTGGAAGCAACTTGTGCGCATCAGTGCCAAGAACTCTTCGTTGCTCTAAGGAAAGCCCCCATTACAAACGAAAAGCCCTTTAGTAGTTGATGCTTGTTTATGGGTTTATTTCAGCAGATATAAAGGCATGCATTTAAAAAATATAAATACCTTCCTGAGTCAGGAAGGCAGCTGTAACCTACGTTACTTGGCATTTCTTTAAAGTGCTTCAAAATCTTGAACGTAAAACTGAAGTCCAAGAATATCTTAATTCAGTGCCATTGATTATAATGCAACTTAACTTACCTTGCTTTATTTTGCTTTTAATGTGCATTGGGGCCAACAAAAAACCACTGATACAAATTTTTTGCCTTCCAAGGAACGAGATGGCTTTGGAAGCTTGGCTGTTGCCCGAGGAAGAGGTCGTGGCCGCGGGGACTGGAGCGTTGGAACACCTGGGGGCATGCAGGAAATAACCTACACGGTGCCAGCCGATAAGTGTGGTCTCGTTATAGGCAAAGGTGGGTCCAGCGACACTAAATACTAGAGCTCACAATCTTTCTCTCTCAGGATGGTCTCGTTCTTGCTGCCTGACAGTGAGGCTTTGGAGTTTTCTGTAATTGCAGGTATTTAGTGGCCGGTGAATGCAGCATAGGAATAAGCTATAAGCGCTTGTGGTTGTTTTCTTTGTGGTGCTCTCACTCATAATTGTACTCTCCAGGCCCTTGTTCACAATCTGTAAGAGAGGCTCTTCATGCAGAGCTGTCAAGTAAGCTTGCTATAACAAGCAGCTGGCTGAGAAAAGGCAGGTTCATTTGTGGATTCTTTTTATAGAGAATTCGTTTAAAGGACAGTTTATCAGGGACAAGCAGAACAGTCATTTCTTCATGCTGGATTTCTGTGAGTGCCATGTGATAAAATGGAAGGTCTCTGAATGTGATAATAAGAGTAGCTGCTTCCAGCCACGTACCTGAAGTGTCTGATGAATAAAGTGAAGTAGCAGGGTTTGTCTGTATCGGAGCCTGTCGCAGAGCAGGCTGGTGCACCTCGTCTCACTCAGATGAACATGTTCACTGCCACGGAGGCACCTTGGCTGTCTTAGTTGTTGAATCTCTCCATGCTAAGGAGATGGACAAGGAGTCATCTGGCCTTCTTCTCAAGAACCAGTAGAACCCCAAGACAGTTATGAAACCGGAGCATCATCAGCAGTCTCTGTTTGTCACAGAACATGAGCTACACATTGGGTAATGGCAGTACTTAGAGCCAGGAATAGAAGACCTCTATCACTCTGAATCGTTGCGATGCTTCCAAGTTAATACACTGATGTATCAAAGGAGTTGTATTTAATTTTTCTATCTGCTTATTTCAGAAAGAATGACATATGCCTTAACTAGTATTTAAGTAATCACAGTTGGCTTTTAGCCTCAGCAGAGGTGAGGTGAATAGAATAGGAACAGATTAGCTGCAGCGGTAAAGGAGGCAGGGGCTTGAGGGAATTGTGCCATGTTTCAGTGACATTTAGTTTCCTGCCGTCTTGTTGGGCAGGAGCAAGCTTGCAGTGAAACGTGTTGTGGCCTCTTTCCCCTGCGGCACAAGCCTGCTGCATCTCACTTGTTCCTGTCCGTGTGTCTGGCTCCTGTGGCACCCTGAACTGCTGCCTTGTTGGGTGACAAGGGACACGAGCACGTCAGCAGTGTATCTGCAGTTATTTTCAGCTGTTGTTCTTTGCCGTAAACCTGTTCACAAACCTGAAAACTTTTTTCAATATGAAAAAACACCTGCTCTCCCCATTATGCAGAAATTGTGGAGTGATTGTGCTTGATCTCACTGAATAGTCCGGTTGGGCAAAAGATCAAGCAAAGCAAATTTTAAGCCCACAAGTGAGAGTTATATGTATGGAAAAATCAAATTATAATGAAACTTTATTGCTGTATCCATTAGTCATCCTTAATAAAGGATCAGAAAAGGTCACTTGTTGTTCAGCCGTGCACTGAAGTGGAGCATTTGTGACTACAGAGAGCACTGTGTGCTGAAAAGATAAATGCAGGTAGTGGAGGTGGATGTCCTAGCATTCAAGTGCAAGGCCTGGCACAGGCTCACTGTGGGGGTGAAGGGTAGCTTTTTACCTTTGTTTCCACAACAGCAAAACGGGGATTCTTAACCGGCCAGATCAGAAGCTTTCTGGAGTGACTAATTACTAGTTGTATGGTGATTTGAGTGCTTGTAGCTTTGTAATACCACCTTGTAATCGGTGTTCTTACAGTGCCTATGCTCTTAGTCTATTGCAGCCTTCATTTTTGTCAAGTGAGTGATGGCTGTAGCATTGCCTTTGGGGCCTGGACCAGGATGGATGTACTGCGCTCTCCATATGTTGATGCAAGACACCTGATTCTTCTTATTTCTTCTCCCCCTGCCTGTGGGGCAGTGTAGGGGAGAGGGGATGTTAGTGGGGATTTTTTTAACAGTGACCAATTGTAAAACCTTTGCTCCCCCCTTTTTAGTTTCTGAGCAGTTTCCAGCTTTTTTTTTTCTTCTTATTTTTATTTTTTTTCCTGTGTGATACAGCACTTCGCTGTTAGCCTTCTCTGTAAAATCTGGCTGAGTCCTCTGGGCACACCTAGCTTGGTCTCTGAGGTTAGCACCCATGCAGTGGGGATCTTGGGCCCCCGGGTGTAGTGTATGCGATGTGGCCAGGTAACCGCTGGAGAGGCGGGG